TGCGCCGCGTCGTAGTCCACAAACGGACCTTCTGCAGTAACGTGCGGGGCCTTGTTGACGATGCCTAGGTTGATATGGTACCAGTGCACCGTACGCTTCAGTTCGGGGATCTGGTACAGTTCACGAAGATACTGCTCAACGTTGTGGTAGGCCGTCAGGTGTTTGTCCGTCTTCTGCTGGTACGAGTCCAGTCGAATGAGCGTGTGGAACAGACGCACGTCTGCCTCCGTCACACTGTTGCCCACCACGAATCTCTTCTTAGCCAGCAGCTCATCAAGTTTGGCCAGCTCCTCATCGGTTTTGGTCGCAATCTCAGCGACCTCTTCGGGCGTCCGAGCGAACATTTTCTTATAGAAATATTTGCTGATTTCAGCGCCAATTCCGTCATTAACGGCATCAATTTGCGCTCGCAGCTCCTCCGGGTACAGGTGTACATCGGACGACACGAGGTCACGGAAGCCCGAGTCTAAGGTGCGCAGGATGCCCGTGGACTCCTCCGACACGATCGTGCCTTTCTTCTTGTCCCACAATACAGGCACCGAGAACGTACGTGGAGTCGGGTCCACCTTCTCGAACAGATCTCGCACGAACGTCACGTGGTTCACCGTGTCTGGCACGCAGTCGTCCGTCGGGTACGTCTCGCCATTGGCGGCGACCATCGTGGAGGACTTCGCGGGGTCCACAAAGACCCAGCCCTCATGTTGATCACTAGCGTCGTTAGGCTTAGTCTTCTGGAACATTGGGTGTGCTACAGAGATGCTGATGACGTCCTCGAGGCCGAGCAGGTTGCGAGCCGAGAGTGCGCGGCAGGCGAATGGACACGAGTAAGTGACGTAGAGGTGGTAACGACCTTTTTCGGCGGGGAACTGAGCGTCCGCAGTAGACTCAATCTTGAAGTCGTATGGTGTGAGCTTTGAGGTTTCCATGGTGGAGAGAGGAGAGAGTTTGAGTTGAGTTGAGCTTTTTGAAGTGAATTGAAAAATGAGCTTGAGCATGATTGACAAGTGATCAGGTTGAAGGGGCTACGTATGATGGTTACGTTTCTAAAAATGTAAACATTTAGAAACGATTGATTGGTCAACATACTACGCGTTTAGCCAATACCAGAGCATGAAATTGCTTGCTCATCGGGTGGGAATGATGGTCAACTTCAACGTACGCATATTCCTACATACGTAAGTTATATATGGAATATTTGCAGCCATAAAACATTGTTTTAATTTTAAACCAATGAGAGTGCTCCCTCAAATCGTCGACTAAAGTCAATTCACATGTCAATGTTGATGTTCAGCTAAATCGTAAACATGTTTGCACGACACCAGCACGATGAAAAGTCTGCCAACATGTTGAATTCTGTATCCAATCGCTACTATACTGGCAAATTAAATAGGGCCGTTGTTATCTTTGGAGATTTTCCATTATGTCGCTGCATTTGAGGCCTCAGCGTTAGCGAACTAGGCGAGCATTGTGTGAAATGGCAAATGGTCGACACCACAAGCGAATTTGCCCTCATATCATGATCATGCAGTTAGAGAGATGTCGTTGGGCCTTACCATGAGCCCGTGACTGGGAGGGCACTCGAAGTACCTCACGCCTTTGATAGCACCGTCATTTTTACCCACTGGTGAGCTCAAAGCGACGCCTACGAATTCACCTTTCGCATAGTGAACGTGGCCTGTGAACTTGACAATCTGTTGGCAAACAGTATTAGTCTGCATTGTCCGTATCAAACATGTCATGTTGTGTGCATAGATACTTACCCCT